ATGAATAAACTTTTAGGTCAGCTGTCTACTTTTGTTTTGAATTTTTTAAGTATTGTTTTTTGCATACATAACTTAAAATATTTATTTCCAAATGTATTTTACATATCAAGGTTATCATAAAACTAACTTTCAGCAATTCTTAAAGCAAACATTTAAATATTTAAAATTTACATTTTTCATTAAAACACGAGCTCCAAATCAAATCAAGGTATGTTAATGGTGTTAGTGAGTGAGTTAACTGCTGATTGCTAACTGAAGTAATAGGAATAAAGTTGTAGACAATTTAATTTGCTACAAATAATGTCTGATAAATTTTCTATCGGATGGCTGGTTTACGAGATATAGCGCGAAAGCCCTTTGGACCCCCTTTTCCAAGATGGCGATCGGGGGACAACGGTGGCGACCGTACAAACTTGAACTTAGCTTATACTTCTTCTTCTTTTTATTCAGGTGCCATCTCCGCTACGGAGATTGGCAATCATCACAGCTATTTTAATTTTTAAGGCAGTAGCTCTAAATAGTTGTTTTGAGCTGCATCCAAACCATTCTCTCAGGTTCTTAAGCCATGAAATTCGTCTTCTTCCGATGCTTCTCCTGCCATCTATCTTTCCTTGCATTATGATTCGCAGGATGCCATACTTCTCGCCCCGCATCACATGTCCGAGATACTGTAGCTTTCTTTCTTTAATTGTAAGTTCAACTTTCTTCTCTTTACCTATTCTTCTCAGTACTTCATTGTTCGTAACTCTATCTACCCAGGAAACAATCATAATTCTTCTATAGGTCCACATTTCAAAGGCGTTAAGTCGTCTCATTGTGTCTAGATTTAACGTCCATGATTCCACTCCATAGTATAGTACTGTGTTCTCGGCCGCGACTAGTTCACGTTCGAGACGCATCGCCCCGCCTCTTATTTTTCCCGTTGGCCCCTCCCTGACCTGGAAATCCCTAATCACTACTTCCATAGTAGTATAAAAATAGGCGATTTTCAGGACAATCAGTTCAGTCCCTCAAGTCACGGGCTCTCCGAGAGCTTAGTGCTCTCGGGGCACTGCTTTCTTTTAGCTTTTTCCCATACTCTGTGGCTGAGTATTATTATTCAACAATATTTGGTGTTTTATTTCGACTACTATTTAGTCATGTAAGAAATATCTTGCCTTTGTTAAGGCAAGTCACCAAAGAAGACAACCTGATGGTTTATTTCAACGGAGAATCTTCGTCATGTAAGAAATAACTCGTCTTTCTCAAGACGAGTCATCAGATGAGAAAACTTTACAAGTTCATATCCTGAAAATGGACTTGGGTAGAGGTGCTTTCGTAGACGTTCTCGAAGCCCTCTACAGAGCACCCGGAGGCATTAGAGGGCGTTTAGACCCTTTCCATTTACCCCGAGGTGACAACTGTATACGTAACATTTTGTTAGGCGTACTTCAAGAGCTAATGTTAAATCTTTGCCACATAGGACCTTTTTAATTTTCATAAAATTAGAACGTGCTTTTTCGATTCTGACTTTGATTTCTGCAGTATAGTCATTGTTTTCTTATACTTACCCTCCCTTTATAAAAAAGAAATAAAATTTCGTCCCCTAAAAAATGTAACATTTCAATGGACTATTACCAATATGTAACATTTGAATATTGATATTTTGTAATTTTTAAAGTAAAAATATACACTGATTCACCAATAGCGATTAATTAAAAAAGTGGACTTTGTACTGCATTACCATAAATACGCATTTGTACCATAGATTATACGTGATATTTATAACAGATCCTATGAATATTTAATGTTTTCAATTTTTGTTTCCTTCAATAATTTGTGTCAGGCATAATTTTTTTTATTGTAAACAATCCACACATACAGTGTGTGAAATTCAGCATTGCATATAAATCATTACACTTATTAAAATAGAAAAAATAATGAATATACTAAGTGAAATAGAAATGCGAACTCCAAATATATTTTGAAAATATTTTTTACAATAAACAGGGTAGTAAAATAAACAAGCGGTCAAATTTTCAATGTGAATTAAACAACTTACATGGGTAAATCAGTTAATAATGTTTGGATGCACCAGTGGCGCACCTAGAATTTTCCTGAGGGTTTGGTTGGGTGTCGAAATTTTTTTCATGCTACCCCCATTTTGAGTCCTTAAACTTTGCGTTTTAGTTTAATTTAAAGTACTAAAAATAGCAGTGCCAACGATTCAGGTATCTGAATGTCTGAATGTTGACTGTCACACTTACCGTACTCCGAAAGTGGGATGACCGCTGTGAGGCTGACATTTTTGAAACACTCTCTTCTCTTATCTAGATCTTATTTCTGTCGTTGGGTCCGGTTGATGTTCATCTTCTTCTTCTTTCTTTTAATTACTATTCGGATGTAATTTTGAACACTATTCCATTCCTCTTTACTTCCTGCCATCTTCACGTTCATCTCTCTCACAGTCACAAGGTTCATACCTATTTCTCTATACATTCTGTTTCTCTCCACTATACATATATTACACTTCAGTATTGTGTGACTAAAACAGACAATCTACCCAGTCCCTTAGACTCGGGATCAGCATCTTGGCCCAATGTGCAACATCTTGCGTGCTGTTGCTCTCTTCTTTCATAGAGTTGTCTCCTTTCTACTGCTAACACTTGCAGATGAACACAACCCGTGATAGTCCACAAGGCCGCCGCAGATACAGTCCTGTAGGCACATGCTACTGGCAACAAACTCGTTCTGTCTACTCTTATAATGAGCCTAATATTAGGTATGGATATCTAAATATAATGAAAAATATTAATTTAAATCCTAAATTGTATTTTAAATAATAATTTGTAAACAGATTAAATGTTTTTGTTGTGTGTGAAAGACAAGTTACATTTTCCTACTATTCTTTATATATTTTTTACTTTATATACCCTGGGGGTGGTTAACCTCCAAAGCTCCCCTGAGTGCGCCACAGGGATGAACCTGGGAGGGTAACTTCTGGGGTATCTCGTTACATATCCTAATTAACTCATCCCGAAGTGTTCCAAAAGTTTAGAGAGGTTGCTCTAAATTAAGAAGTCTCCGACCCCAACATGTCCCACACGTGTTCAATTGGAGATAAATCTGGGGCTCTCGTAGGCCAGGGCAAAGAATTGATTCCAGCCTGTTCAAAGAAGTTCATGGTAGCTGTCGCAATGTGTGGTCTTGAGTTATCTTGCTGAAAAATTGGTTTTTGGAGCGTCTGAAGGTAGGGTATGAGATAAGGTTCCAGACTTTCTTCTACGTATCGCTGAGTGGTCATGTTCCCTCTGACGAAGATTAGAAGTGACTTTGAACCATAAGCGGTGGCACCTTGGCACCCCACACCTTAACTCCAACAATGTGGTACACGTACCGTTTGACAAACAATTGTGAATTTCTTCTTTCACCACGTCGTTTTCTGACCCCTTCTGACTATAGTTTAAATTACAGATTAGTTTAAAAGCAAGTCTTAATATATTGGGGAGTGCTGCAGGATACTGGTGTATTAGTTATTGTGAATTATCCGTAATGACGTCCCACTAATATAATTGTAATAACATTGGCATGTGGCCATTTTTTATTTTCTATACTTTTTCAGTATCGTGCCAAGTGATTATCTGTTTATATTGTTTCTGCCTAACAAGTATTGTGTCATCGTAACTTATATTGTTTTAACAATTTATACCACATTCCCACATGGTTAGGTCCTGAAGAAGACAAGAAACCTGCAAAAGCGCTGGAGCCTTAAGCCTTAATGAGTACATTGAGAGACCTGTACATTTATACCATTACCGGTTGATGGTATCAACCGGTATGTACCAGTTTCTGGACGAAGGAAGGTGGATTGATGGATAAAGCGGTCGGTGTTTTATTGTGAATGCGAGGAGGTTTTCACGTTAAAGATAACTTAATGCCGTCATTTCTTTTATTGAGACAATTAGAGCGTTTTTCGATTTTAATGGCTTCTCGGATAATCCTTTAATGTAAGTGTATAAGGGTTATAGTTCTGGAATTTTCAAAATCAATTTTGTAAACTATCTAAGATGATGTTGGGCTAGGGTTCTTCGGTTGGTTTGGCCTATGTAAGTTCGCAGATCATGGCACAAGGAATTTTCCAAATTCCATGTATCGGCTTTACTCCATTTGATTGGAGAATTTTATAGCTGACGCCTTTTATGGAAAAAGAATGATTTGTTATTATTAATGTTTGGTTGTTTACAACGAGATTTTACAGAAGATAGATGTCGTAGATGATCCTATTAATATGCTTTTCCCAATAAGTATTTTGGATGATGGTTTGTTCTAGAGAAGAAAGTTCTGCGGGTCTACTTGCGTCGTTGCAAAGGCGTATTGATCTAGAAAAAAGTATTGATGACTGAATTAATTGACTATTGATATGGCTCTTGGAATAACACTTTGGCTCATAATAATTTTTAATACCATTGATGATACTGAATTCAAATCATCATCAAACACACTGTACGCTGTATACGCTATCATGGAAACAGCAGCTGCTTTCACTTGGAAATCATTTTTATCTATTCTTTCTCATCTTTAACTCTCATATAATTCTTATCTTTAACTTTATCGTAGCTCCTTTCACTCCTTCGTATCTTAGATATGTCTTGTGATGTTGTATCTGGTGGTATTCAGTTAATTGTCTTTCTTTATGAGGTTATTTTGCTCTGTTATGGACATATTAGAAAGAAACATTTCCCGATAACCAATTATAAAACATTTCCTATATTTATTTGGATATTCAGACAGTAGCTGGTTACTTTTATGGGAAGAATGCCAATTTATAGAATATGTAATTTACCTTACAACTGTGAATAATGTACATCAAAATTGAAACCATCTACTATTATTGAATTTAATTTTTCCTTTGTTGGTTTTCATATAATTTGAATATTTTCTTCAATATTTTAATTCAACTGGAAGAAAAAATTTATATATTTTTAGTTACCATAAAAACATAATTCAGATTTTTTTCTTAGGTAGAGATATGGAACCAGGTCGAGAAGGTGGGACTTGGCTGGCTTTACGATCGAAGGATCAGGAAAACGGCAAAGGCAAAGTTCATTGTTTGGCTGTGCTTTTAAATGTAACTGGGGCGAAAGTTGATAATGCCAGCGGTAGGGGTAACATAATTACAGATTATTTGATGAGCAAGACAAACTTTCTTGAATACACCGACATGTTGGACCAAACTTTATATAATGGCTACAATTTTGTTACGGTTGAATTAAGGTAAGTTTTACTGTCATCAGTTTGAAAAAATTTCTGTGAATTAGATTTATGAATAGAATATATGAGCCGAATGGACTGAAAGTCCACAAATCTTTAAAAACGGGATAAGTCCGGTTTCACGATATATAGCAACTGTTTTATTTAGAATGAGCGTGATTGAAGCGCAGAGTACAATTACTTGCCATCAGAAGCAGCACAAATAGTTTCTTGTTCGAAAAGACTTTGTCCTGTTGAGGTAGACTGAAGAATGAGAATGCTGAAGTTTATCATTTGCGCATTAGTTAAAAGATGTGTTATTTTCAAAATCAAAATTAGTAAACGCGATCTACGTCTTGAAGAAAAGTCTAATTTAAGGAAGACGGAGCTTGCAAGGAAGATACGGAACTAGCCAAAACTACTCTTTACAGATGTACCTGTAGTATCGATTTACAAAAGGCTCTTCCCTTTCCTGTTTTGACCAAGAAATATTATCCCGTATCATAAACATTTACAGCAGTGTAGTCCAACCTCAATCAGGTGGGCCGCATACGGCCCAAGGCTCGTAACTGCGGCCCCCCGCAAACACATTTCAAAAATATTGCTATTGATAACTTTATCTGTTCCAATCCTGTCGAACTTAACGTAATCTTAAGAAAGTAGTTAACCTTGAACACCCACTCCCGATGAGCGGGCAGTTAGCTTCAGTCAGCTGCACGTGTCGTGTTGAATTAACAATGGCGAATAAATTGAATGTTAAATTCAGAATGAGTAGTAGAATGAGCTTGTCAAAATTAAAAAAGCATTTAGAGATGGAGAAATGATCAAGTGGTGTGCCTTTAAAATGGCGCGATCCTTTGGAGATCCATTTAGCCCTGGACGAATCTGTTGATATTACTGAGAAAAATCAGCTATTAATTTTTGTTAGATTCATCAGTGAAGATTTTTGTGTAACTGAGGAACTTCTAAAACTGTACCACATGGAAGACGGGACCAAAGGTATAAATATATTTGAAGCAGTTAGTGACGCCGTCAAAAATATAGGCGGTTTTCAAAAGTGCTCTTGCGTTTGCACCGACAAAGCAAAAGCAATGACGGGACGCATAATGGGATTGGCTGGACTTTTGCGGAAAAATGGTGTTAACTGTGTTATGTTTCATTGAAATATCCATCAAGAGGTTTTCTGCGGAAAGATAATTAAAATCAACGATACTATGAAAACTGTAGTGCAGTTAGTAAACAACTTAAGAGGAGGAAACAGAGCTCAGCTACACCGAAAATTCATCTCTTTCTTGGAAGGATTAAATACTGAATATAAGGACGTCCCCGTACATTCAAAGATACGCTGGTTGAGTCCAGGTAAATTCCTTAGAAATTCTTTTTCTTTAAGAAAAGAGTTCTTACTGTTTTTTGGAACGGAAATTGTTATTACCACGGATGTATTTATAACAAAGCTTAATAACAAAACATTTCTTCATGAACTGGCATTTCTAACAGACATTACCTCTCACTTGAACACATTAAACCTACAACTCCAGTGGAAAAATAAGACAGTATCACAGTTGGTTGGTCAAATTCAGACATTTCGCAAAAAACTTGATCTTTTTGAGAACTGTATGAAAATAAACGACCTCTGCGTGTTTCGAAATAAATCAAGAAGAAACCATTCTCGAGGTTTGTAAAAGTTCTTACAGAAATAAAAAAAAATCGATGAAAGGTTTTCGGAATTTGATGCACTAAAACTCGATCTTGAGCTTTTTAACAATCCAATGGGAGTCAACATCCAGAACCAATCAGCAGAATTACTTACGCCAATTTCATTCTGACTAGCTCATAAGGACATTTGTACATTTTTTTGTACTTTTTTTTGCTTGTTTGCACTTTTTATGTCAAAACTTGTCTTATGAAGGGTTAAAAACTGTAATTTCATCGTGATGCGGATCATCAGTTTATGCAGTGTAGAAATATCCTTTCATATAGTTATCATCATAATATTCATTTTCCATTTTTGTTTAAGCAAAGAAGACGAGACTATTTACCACCACAGTAATTTTCCCAGAGTTAACTCTAGTTACCTAGGCAAGCAAACTCTGGGATTTGGAAATTCTCCAATATTCACCCCTTTAGCTAAAGTTACGAAAGGAAGGCAAATGTTCGAAGACATTTTAAAAACGAACCTACCGGCAGATGAGCTAGAAAAAGAGTTACTGAAATTGCTGAAAGACGAAACCAGGTATGAGATTATTTTAACTTAGTTTTTTTTTTGTTAACTACTAGCGTTTTGTAGAACTTTTTTGGCACGGATTATACTGTGTTATCTGTTACTACATAAGTTTTTATTTATATATATCTACTCATTTCTTGTTACCTAAACTATTAATTTTTTTAATGCTATTCTGTATTTCGTTAAAGTCTGGTTCCAGATATTGCAAGTTTTTCATATGTTGCTTCTCATTAACTATCATGATAAGTATGTCATATGCGAATATTGAAGAAATATTTCGATATTTTAGGTCTTGAACGAACAAATAAGTAGTAGTTTATTTACTGCTGAAGACATGTTAACTAAATTTGCAAAAGAGTTTGGAAATTTATAGTTAGTTTGATTTTTTAGTGTGCGAGAGATGTCATTTTCGTTTTGCATATCGCCATAAAAAGAAAAAATATATAGACTTAAAGTACTTTATTGATTTTCAAAATATGTCCCACCAAGATGGATATCATATGGATACACTTTTGGATACGTTCAAACTAATTAGTAAAACAGTTATTCCAGTCTTGAATTCTTGATCTTTGGGAATGTAAAGAAGTCGTTGGGACTTCTTTACATTCTCCAGGACGTTACTATACGGTTGATGGTTTAACAATTCGATCCTCCAAAAACTCTATTGTCTTTTGGCAGTGTGAGTACTTGCATTGTCATGATGTAGAATGATCTGCCATTTTGTGTTGCTTTGTCAGATTGTCGCGATAACTTCTGGTAAACAAACGATTATATACCAATAAGAAGTAACCGTACTTCGATCTTCTACAGCAATTTTTGCCACATCGACTAGATTTTGACACAAAAGTTGCGACCATTTTCGTTGACACACTTCGAGAACGGATCAATTTTCACCCACATCCACACACCGGATTGGGGTTTACTTTCCGGTAGGAGAAAATCCAAGATTCACCGCCACTAATAATACTATAAACGTTTTTTGAGCTTCCTTTGTTGAACCGTTTTAATGTTTTTCGACATTAATCAACGAGAACCGTTTTTTGTTCTTCTGTAAGCAAATGAGGGATCCAACGGGAAACCAACTTCGCAACACCCAGTTGTTCATGTAGTATTTTTTGGATTGAGGTCTTTAAAATGCCCAAAGATGCCTATAACTCCTGGTATGTTACACAGCAGTCATCCTTAAATTAGCTAACGAACCGCATCAATGTTTTGCTGTTTTGGGTGGACCTAACCTGGTGGAAATCCGCAATACGCTCGGAAAATAGTTACCTTATGTGATGCTTCATTCCCAAGTACAGAAATCATTTCAGCGAGACATTGCTGTTGGGTAAATTCCCTCAGAAAAGTGTAAAAAATGATTGCTGAAAAATGTTCTCGACTAAAATCCATTTTTCGACCGACTTGTTGTATCGCAATGAAACTCTCGATCTATGTCAACATAAGAATGAGGTTATATTGGTGTTCGAAGTTTTTATAGGTGGTGCCTTCTAAGCGGTTATATGCAAAACTAATAAGACAAATCTCATAAAGACCTCGATATAGATTAGCAAAACATGTGCCGGGTATAATAATTATTTAAAAGTTCTCTATTATTACAGGCACCTACCAGACGATGAATTGGAAAGAAGACAACCTTTAGCCTTCGAGAGTTTGAGTTCTATTTTTATTCAACTGGAACCTGCAGGTTATGGAACAAGGTAAAACAATTATTTAAGTACTTATAGATAGTGGTACCAATATGGTGCCAAACAAGTCAAGAAATTTCTATTTTACATTATTTTAAAACTGTACTATTCTGTAGGTAAGCACTATAGAGAAAAAAAGGTGTATTTATTTTTCAAAATCAGTTATTATGTACACCAGTGCTTCTCAATCTGTATTTGTTCGATGACCCGTAACAGAGATTCTAGAATAACGCGAATCCTTGCTTCCTATATGTCAAAGCAAACATTATTATTATTATACATAAGCGAGGGCAGAGGAACAAGTCCCTATTATGCCCAAAAACAAAGAAATTTTATTAATAACCTACTAGTAAATAACAAAATTACAAAAAAAAATAACAAAATTACAATTTTTGGTTTAAAAGAAAAACAATATTTTAACTATAATATAAATCAAGTCTGTTTTTGAAAGAGTTGGTAGAGGGAGCAGAGACAATGTTTTCATTAAGGTTATTCCAGCACTCAAAAACTCTATTTGGTAGAAAGTTCTGTCTTGATGTTGTAGAAAAGTTTTCTTTTAAACTGATGACCTCTGAGGCGTTCATCTTGATTTATGGTAAATATTTCATCGAGATTTTCAAAATTGGATTTTCATATTTTAAATAAGCCTCCACGTTGTTGGCAAGTTCAAAAGAAGTTAGGTTAGCCGTACTAAGTCTTTCTGCATAAGAAGGTCTTCTCGGTCCCAAAGAATTCGATTGGCTTTTCTTTGAACGCTTTCCAACAAAGTCTTGTCTCGAATCAAAGTAGGCACTCTCTAACAGTATTTAGATAAACAGTGTCACTGTGTTGTGAGATCTCTAAATCAAACAATGTACCCCCGCACATCTGAAATACTACTCGAGATGCTGTCAAAAGCATCAACGCAGAATACCCAAAAATGTTATCCTTAAGTTGTAAATATTTATATATTTATATTTATCTTTTAACATCTTTATCAACGTCTGTTTAACTTGCAATTTTTACAAGGTTCAGATTAAAGCAGAAATCTGAATTGGTTTCGAAAACTATTTTACGGATTTATTATCAGATGTCGCTATTGCGTCCATATCGAAGCCATTTTAATGTTGCTTCTTAAAGACAGAAAAGATTTATTTTTCACGTTGAGAACGCCTATGAATAGCTGTTCTGATGAGGCCTATTAGGCCGAAATACGTATAAACAGATACATGAACGCTTTGTACGTGAAATCTAATCTTTGCTGTCTTTTTCATTCAATTTATATTTAAGTTTAAGCGAAATAGTTCAAATTATTTCACATATGTCTTTACAAAAATAGCGCATCATTTTTATAATATCTCCATGGTATTATCGTCTTATAATCGACACAAAATATATTATTCTCGTCATACAGAAAAACAAATCAATGACGAAATTGTTTTACTAATAGTATTTTTTTATTTTCAGAACCCACACTATAATACTAATAGATTATGACTGGAATCTCTCGTTTATCGAATACACTATGGAAGAGCCCATAGATATCCATAACCTTAAGTGGAAAGAAACAAGACTTAATTTAAAACTGTGATATCATAACAAATGTTTTTTGTCAATTGCTATCTATTTTCTGTGGTAATGAAAATATGTTCTCTATATTTTAAGAATAGATATTAATGTTTTAATGATCTGTTGTTTGTTATTTATAACCATTTTTGATGGGTTGGGGCCACATCTGGATACAAAGTCGAGTGATTATCTGTAGACGGGTTTATAGATATGTTTCAAGACAACTTTGTCGTTTGTACCCAGTGAAATGCCTTGTTCTTCACTAGTTACTAAATATGATTCACCTCCTTAGGATTGCTGCTTTCACAGTTATAACTTTGGATAATGAAAGAAATCTGAAGAGGAGAACGTTGGTGAAGGTCTGAAATATTTGCAAAAGCTCCTTGTTTCGATAACAATTTACTTTTAACATTGAAAGTATAAGAAAACACGAAAATATTTTGAAGAATGAATCCAGATTTTAAGCTCTCAAAGCTTCTCAGAAATTGAGAAAAAGAGAAACCAATTTTCTGCAATGTAATAAAAGAAAGTACTTCAACGCATGTGTAAGTCATTACTATATTTCTTTTCGTTCTTCACTGATTGTTATTTATAAAACAGCACAAAAAAAAAACAGTTGGTAAACCAAGGGAGAGCGCCCATCAAACTGGCATGACAAATGGCAAGTAGCAAGTAGCGCGCATCTAGCATGTTACTTAAAATGTAACCAATGCAAACGAATGATTCAGCGCACACCAAAATGACAGTGACAGTGGTGTCATGCAGCTTGCTACGCTATGTTGTTAGCGAGAGCGCCCACCAAACATGATATAGCACGGGCACGGCACTAGCATGGCAGGTAGCGCACGCTAAAGTAGCATGACATTAAAAATGCTAGTTAAATTCAAAATATCGCCCTCAACACATCATAATTTTATCGATTTTACTCATTTTGGAGCTATTTTTAGGTTGCTAAGTAGCACTTGTACGTGTCGTAATGGTGATCCAAATCATTTTCGACTTCTGCTTCTTCTAAATTTGCTAGTTCTCCAGCTCTTCTCCTGTTGAAGATTTTAATATTTAGCTTACTTAATCAATCGGTACTCGCAAGAAATCTGGCAGAAGAGCAGAGTTTTTGCCAGCTCGAATGAGTTTCATGATAGCTCACTAAACTTTTCTACGATCCTCCAGCTGTTAAAGGTTTGTGCTGTTGAAAATGTGACCATCACGCTATGTATTCCACTTACGCTGTTCTTGAAGTATGGAGTAAGTGTTTGGAAATCTAAAAAATCCTTTTTCCATCTGTACTGTAAAGAACTTCCGACTTGTAGAAGTTACCAGCTCCATCCAATGTTGAGTACATGCAGGTTATTTTCCTTTTTAACTCTATCAAACCAAAGGCTTGGTCACACTCATTATAAAAATGGCCAAGTATAAAAAATCAATGATCTACTGTTTGAGTATTAGTGTTTCTGACAATGTAAAGCCAAAATTTGACTGTCAGATGGGACATAAAACGATTGGAGGAATTTGAAATGTGGTGCTACCGACGTATGTTGAGGGTCTCAAACAGAGCGGCCAAAAGTCTGGAAACGGCTAATTATCTCGTAAATTACTAGACATAATTATACAAAATTTGAAATACGCCTATTTTGGGATACGGAGATTCCATATTTGGTATTTGCAATGTTGCCAGATTTTCAGTTTCTCTTATATTACTAGTAACTTTGGTTTTTCAAATGCATCACCCTGTATATTCAGTCATTATTGGAATCTCCTATTAAATACGAGTTCAACCATATGTAACACTTATGATTTTATGTAGTCTGGAAGGTCTTAAATACATAAAACAGAAGTCTGGCAACGCCTAAATTGTTTCAATACATTTTTTATTACTAACTATTTTCAAATACATTAAAACGTAACAATTGATAGTTTAGAATATTTTTTAACATAATAGTTACATTATTAAGTGTTCAAAATGTGCTCCATTTGTGAGTTGAGAGCACTCTAATCGATGGTAGAATGCGTCTACCGCATTTCTCCATGATTGTCTAGAAATTATTCGAGATTCATCGATAATTCATTGCCTTAGCTATGCCAGACTTGCTGGTTAAGTTTTATAAACTGAATTTTTCAAGTATCTCTAATAAAAATAATCTTTAGGATTGAGATCGGGTGAACGTGGAGGCCATTCAATTCTAACTTGTCTACCAATTTATCGTCCGGGAAATATCTCATCTAAATAACGCCGAACATTTACACCAACTATCTGACGTTAAATTTCTTTCGATAAAAAATGGCCCAATTAAATAAGTACCTACTATAACTGGCCATACATTTAATTTTTGTGGTCTTTGAGTATGGTTTTCACGCATTCAGTGTGAATTTCACACGAGTTCAGCTATTCAATATGAGTTCAACCATATGTTCACTTGATTTTATGTAGTCTGAAAGATCTTAAATACATAAAACAGTGCAAAATATGTAGATTTTAATAAATTTAAATATTTAAATGGAGAATGCTGTGATTTTGACATTTGTTCACCATTTAAATTATGAACTGAAATTGACAGTAGTTGTGGTTAAAAAAGTTCTGCAATTTAAATTGCTGCTCTCTAAACCGTTCTCCTATTCATAAGACGACGGTACAAAAAACTGTAAGGCGATTTGAGGAATCTGTAGAAGTAAAAGATAGATACCGATCAGGTTGACCGAAACGAGTTATCAATGACAACAAAACTTCAGATATAAGCAAAGTTTTGTTGAAGATCCACATACATATCCAGGCAGGGTTGCACAAGTACATGATGTAGGTCATTCTTCAGTCTTACGTTTATTACGTAAAAATAAATTTAAATCATACAAAATTAACTTATTGCAAGAATTAAGTGAAGATGACTTTGGTCATAGATTAGAGTTTACTGAGGTAATGATGGATAAAATTGAAAATTATTAAAATTTCGTTAACAGAATACGTTTTTCCGATGAAGCAACTTTTACACTGTGTGGAAGTGTAAATCGACCCAATTTAAGGTACTGGTGTGACGTAAATTCACATTGAAGACTGAATGCCTGAAAACCATACTCAAAGACCACAAAAATTAAATGTATGGTCAGATATAGTAGTTACTTATTCAATTGGGTCATTTTTGTCGAAAGTAATTTAACGTCAGATAGTTGGTGTAAATGTTCGGCGATATTTAGATGAGATATTTCCTGGACGATAAATTGGTAGACAAGGTAAATTGAATGGCCTCCACGTTCACCCGATTTCAATCCTAAAGATTATTTTTATTAGGGATACTTGAAACATTCAGTTTACAAAACTTAACCAGCAAGTCTTGCAGAGCTAAGGCAACGAATTATCAATGAATCTCAAATAATTTCTAGACAATCATGGAGAAATGTGGTAGACACCTTCTACCATCGATTAGGGTGCTGTCAACTCACAAATTGAGCACATTTTGAACACTTAATAACGTAACTACTATATTACGTTTTATTTAGGCGTTGCCAGACTTCGGTTTTATGTATTTATGACCTTCCAGATTACATAAAATCATAAGTGTTACATATGGTTGAACTCGTATTGAATAGGAGATTCCAATAATGACTGAATATACAGGGTAATGTATTTGAAAAACCAAAGTTACCAATAATATAAGAAAAACGCAAAATCTGGCAACATTGTAAATATCCGTGTCTCAAAATAGGTGTACCTCAAATTTTGTACAATTATGATTAGCATTTTACGAGATAATTAGCCGTTTCCAGACTTTTGGGCCACTCTGTATATACACCACACAAGTAACATAACTATTCTCCAGAGGCAAAGAAAAGACAAAGAAATTATTAACACCATAAAAAACAGAAAATTGGGTTACTTCGGCCACATCATTCGTAATGATAAATATCGACTTCTACAGGCCAAGATTGGGAGTAAGAGAGGCACTGGACGTAGATGTATATCCTGGCATGCCAATCTTGGGAAATGGACTGGTCTAACGTCAACTGATCTATTTCGAGATTGTGAATAGAATAAGATGGGTCAATGTGGTCGCCAACATTTCTAGAAGATAGGCACACTTAGAAGAAGACCACATCATATCGTAGGGTTTTATGTTGTCTTTTGTTTCTGTTGCTATTTTAGTAGATGTTGTGAGTATTCTTCTTTGTTTGGACTGTTTCTTCCATCTCCATGGTTATCACTGAACCTCGACGTGTCTTCTACATGTACAGCAACAATAAAACAATAAATGAATAAATAATGTATATATTTAGAAAGCAAGTATTTATTTTGTGTAAATAATCTTTAAAAATGTAACAACTGAACCGATTAAAAAATCATTTCTCTACTTAACACAATGTTTAACCAGAAGAAAATACACAAAAGAAAAAAGTTTCAGTTAAAAAATACTAACATCTATCTATTATTTCGATTTGAAAAATAAATAAGAGGAATTGAGTGAAATTTTAAACGAAATTTATATACTCCAAATAGGACATGTATCAGATCATCTATATGCTCATGCTCAAAGGAATGAGATTTTTATAAACGCGTTATAATGTTCAAGCATATAGATCAGTATTTAGTTAGAGCTTGAATTTAAAATCTGACAAGTTTAAACTCTCATACCATATGGTTTTTAAAAAAATTCTCCGTAACTGCGTAACAATAATTTAATCAATAAGTATATATATTTGAACACAGAGCTGTTGGCGCAAAACCACAAGTGATATATCTAAAGCAAACACCTTCATAAAAAAGTCAATTGTTGTAAACACTGTCAAACCATAAACCACCTTTGACTGGCAGCGATTTTCATTTTCTTTATCCAACTACAAAATTTAGAGCGTTATAGTGTTATCTACCATATTCGTTTATTAGTTTTCGATAAATAGAATCATTATATAATACAAAATTATATATATTCGCTAAATCTAATAAATGTCCTACAAGTAGTATATTTTAAGATCTTAATGTTTTATTATTACAAAATAGACTAAAATAAAAAATAACTCAAGCTAAATAAAAAAACAACAAAATAAACAACAACTTTTTACAAATTAGTCATATCTCGCTACATCAAGGCTCCGAGGATAGTAATTCAAACGTACAAGGTGCTTTAAGAATGGTTTTGAAACAGAATATCTGTTTCCTTTTTGTTTTCCTAGACTTATAACCCTCAGTATACATCCGTTAAATGTACATTAATTTGCTTTCTTTATTTCTGGGCATCTTAACCATAAAAGCCATCACTGATTACTCATTCTAGGTTAATAAGCTTTAATCGTCAATGGGAACACTGCACTGAAGTATAGTTATACATAACTAAGTTTGTACCACATCTATGAGTGTAGATATTTAATTTCTCTAGCCAATGTGGTCAGCAGTAAGGTAATTTAATCATTAATCATGAAAATATGAAAAATACTCAATTTATTTTTAGTTCTATATAGTACATTATTTTGAAATCAGTTTTAAGTTTGTACCAGACGTATTATTACACATATCTGAGTATCAAGGAAAGGTACTGTGCTGCATTTTCGTTGTTTTTACACTGCAATAAATTATAATAATAAATAACTTTTATGATATTTCTTAAACAGCATTTTTGTTGTGAAGTTTCTGCAGCAAACGGATATGTAGTTGATACTGTTCTATTGGAATAAATATATTATGTCATAGACAATGATTCTTTCAATTACTCCATCAAATGTACTTAAAAATACAAATTTATAATGAAGTTATACATCACTGTACATCTCAAATTACGAAGTACTGAGTAAATATTAACAGTAACATTACAAAATTCAATTTTTGATTATTTTATATTTGCCAGCTCAAATCTTTTTGTGAATGTTGTACCATTAATGCACCTTGTACCAGAAAAAGCAATCAATTTCGAGAAAATTGAGGTGCAATACCCTGTATATTTTCAAAATTCTATCAACTATCAAGTATTACAATTTTCCATTTTTATATGAAGCTTGTTGTACACTTACATCTCATGATTGTAAGCAAACATGGGCTAATAAAGTTATAAACTCCAAAATTTAATATTTTCGACACAAGAGATAATATACTGAAAATTTTATTTCAATAAATGCTAAGCTCAAACGATATAAAATAGTGTAAAGAGAAGGGATAAAATCTGATCTTTTGTGGGATAAGTAATGGAAAAATACTCATAAAAGAAGTCAATAATTCACCCAGTTTTCTTACTGATAATAGAAATATTCATAAAGACGAACGTGAAAAAAAAAGTAAACACTTTCATACACTTGTTGAATACTTTTGTTTTCAAAAAGTGACTTGAAAACACATGGAATGAAGAATGAAGGAAAACAATCCAAAAGATCAGAAAAGTAACAAGAAAGGGAAATTAAAAATTATATAACATAGCAGTGAGCTTTCTCCCATTTAGTCCTTATAGCGAGCCAAACTCTCTTGCAGTCGACATTTTGATCATGAGAAAATCCTATAAAATTTCTTTTAATTGAAAGAACCTTTTCATATACCACTCAATTTTCTCTTTAACACATTACAAATGTTCATTAACAATAAGCCTTGATATCTATAGAAGTAAATGAATCAACAATGTGATATTTTAACAATTTACAATTTGAAAAAAATACCTGTATATATAAAATCTAGCAATAGGTCCACCTAGATCTGTCTAAATTTTCAAAAATAACTATTTCAGCCGTATTATTTAAAAAACTAAAAAATGACTTAGCCTTTTTTCATTTATAATTCATAATACAACTATTTTACATAATAATTCTTTGTATCGGGTAGTTTTACGCAATATTTCAATATAAAATTCTTTCTACAATTCAAATTATGTTTGACATAGAAGCTTTTCGCATTGACAGTTGACAAATGTCAGTTATGTTAGAATTATATTACAATACTAAATACAGTATCCAGAAAATGAAAGAAAAATACTGTGGAGTAGTGGTTATAATGGAAATGACTAGATAGATGGAATATAAAAACAGTGACTGGGAATAAAAATAGGAAGAAAAGAATATATGCTAAGCGGAAAAAGCAGGGTCTCGCATTAGAACATGGAGACATCGTACGAAACGGATCGAATCCATGGAAGTATATTACACGTACATGCTACAAAACAAATTCACTATTAAATAAAAATGACAAGTGACATTTAGTTACTGTGACAATTTAAACAATTAATACATCACAGATACACCACAAATTGATAACGAGATGACTTAGTTTTTTATACAACCGAAATACACATGACATTTTTTATTCAAATATTGCATATAACTAATGACAACAAAGAGTTGAACAGTTCTCAAAGTTGATGCAATTTGAGGACCGTGGATCAAGTTGCATAACACTGGGACTATTCCATGTAGCTAATTATTTTATAATCAATAAATAAACATAGTTAAAGTTCTAGCTTTAACAGTGATATCTATTTTATGCTCAAAGAAAGCTTTTGCAGTATGTTTCTGTTTTTTCAGTATTGTCAACTCATTAAAGCTTTGACAGAATAACATCAATTTAGCTAATAAACATAGATCAATGTAAAACTACGTCACCAGATATCGTTAAATATTTATCTTTAATAAAATGAAAGAATTTAGCAAGATAAGATTGATTTGTTGGGCTCATACAATAAGAATTTAAATTTGTAATCTGTAATCGATTAGTAGTTCCCAGGTGCGGGCTTGTAATTTAAATTACTATACATTAGAAAGTACATAATATTTGTACTTTTAGCCAGTTTTTGGTATGATTTTTAGCCGATCAGAACATGTTCAAAATTTTGCTTTGGATATTATTACTGAATATGTTTAGAGAAACCATAAAAGGCAATTCAATGAGAATATTAATAGAATAAAATACATTATGTATGGTATGACAAATCAGAAAAAACACAGTGAAAGTCTTCTCACAAGTAGCGACAGAAAATATAGTACAAACCCAGTGAGAGAATGAGGAAACGTTGATTAAGAGACAGAATAGTCACGTTTATCAAAAACTTAAGTACTTGAAACAAAAATTTACATAAAACTAGAGTTCAGGACCAAGAGTGCCCGCAGCCAACGATGTTCAAAACAACAAATATTTGGGAAAATTAATGAGACAAAGCCAGTGTATAGACAGAAAGAAAACATTATTAAGATGATGTTTTTTAGGTTATGATATATTGGGATTCTCCAGAAGTTTAAAACAGAAATCTTATGAAAATGGCACTTAATGTCGATATTGGGTGACTAGTTTACTAACATATTTTTCATTTTAACTTCTATAGTAAAAAACTGGTCTACAAACACCAAAATCCAAAAGGTGCCAAGAGTATTACAAAAAAATATATAATTCTAAACCATATATTTTAATCACAGATAAATTGAAACAATAGCAAAAATTTAACAAAATTGATATGTTTAATGCTGAGGTACACTTATTTAAAACAAACAATGTCTAATTTATTTAAAACTGACACAAAATGTTTTCAATTGTCGTTAAACAAACAGCAAATCTGTTTAAAAAAAAAACCATTGTTTTCAGACTATTAAATTGCGATAGCTCACGAGGATGGGATCTTACATACTTTTTAAACAAGCAAGGAATTAATCTTAATAGTAATGCATAGGTATTGCTTGGACAATTGGGGGATACTTTTAAATAGTACTTGCTGATTGAGAGGTTTCATTTGACATATACCTTGACACTAAGTGACGATTAAAGTTCTTTTATCTATAAATTAATATTGTATTAAATATTTATTTGTCTTTAAGAAGAGATATATCATTGATTTTTGTAAGCACTGATCACATTGTCTATACGAAATTTTTAGGTTATGTGTCTATTGTTGGTACATTTTAAAGTTGTTTATTTAACTTTCTTACAATTTTAAGACCAGTAAAGGTCTCAAGACATCTTTCAAAGCTAGTAACTAGCTCTAACTCTTCGATATTCATATTAAATAATGAAAAAAAAATTCCTAATCCTGTTAACAAAGTCTTTAATTTGTGTGGTGGCCAAATGTGACCTGGTACAATCACCGAAGAGGTAAAAAAAGAGAGTTTAGGAAATTCTAATAAAAAAGTGGAAACGGATGGAATCTAAGATAAGGAAAACTTTAGCTTAATTGAGAAAGATGCGTTATATTGGAATCCTCAAGGACGCAGACAAAGATGTTGACCAAGAAAAATATCAAAGGAATCTGTGGAGCACGAGGCTAGAAAAATTGAAGATTTTGTTGGAGGTGAAGGCGCTGATGGAATCAACGGCGTTGGAGAATATTTAAGTATACAAGTTGTCAAAACTTTAATGACTTTGGAAATCCTCCAATCGGTACGCCTAGTTGATGCACAGCAAAATTACCGGGAATGATCTTAGTCGGAGAAGTAAATTCGACCTGTAACTCTCGTAATCAAGTCACGGAATTCATCGACTTTTTTCTCTCTGAATGCTCTCTGCGCCGACAAAATTTCGAAAGTCATGACGAGTAATATTATATGCTTCAATTGGAGTTAAAGGAACTAAGATAAAAATATAATTCTTAAAATTGTAATTGTTCAGTTGTATTCAGTTTTACTCCAATTTACTGCACAAATATTTGTAATCCGCCACAAAGATAAAAATTACATAATTTGTAACATTTTTTGGAGAAATGTTTAATATGATTGCTGATTATTAGATATCTATATAAAAAAATTATTACTCTTTTATCTATCATGTATTGTAAATATTAACGAGAAAGCGGAAATTTGCATTTATGAATTTCTTTGCAAATATTTTGAAGCTTAACACTCCTCATGTCCCATCACGACTTTAATAGTCCATTTGATATAATTGTACAATGATTTTTTGTCGTTTTATTGAAAATATTACAAGTTACACACTGTTGTAGTGACTTGTTTACGTTTGTGAGAAATGTCTAACAGAAACACACTGAATTAAAAAAATAAAACCATCTAGATTATATATAAAACTTTTCTTTATGTATCCAAATACAACGAATGCCACTTTTTGTACAATTGAAAAAAGTGGCACCGGCATATTTTCGTAAAGAAAAAAGCATACACACATTGTTACATATATATTTTTTTCCTATTACACATTTTTTACATATTTATATGGTTTTGTTTATTTTATTTTAACAAAAAGAGGAAAAGAAACTATAAAATATTATCACCGTCAAAAAATAAGTATTTATCCTACAACGTCTATTCCGAAAAGAGTACCTTTCATACAATTGTCCTAGGAAAGAAATTTTTATACACTCTATCACTTCTGCTATGTAACATAGAAGCAGTTCCAAACTAAATCGCACAAATTGGAGTCATCTTCATATATTTTATGATTTCTAGCCATAAAGTCTGCATTATTTTTGACAATATGTTTAAAGATTCATATACATAAGCAAGTGAAACGCAACAGAACTTAGAAAACAAATTGAAATACTGTAAAACTGCAAAATATAGATGACTAAAATTAATGTGGCACTGCAAGTAGGAAAATTACTGGCTCTGAAATGTAAGAGATAAGGGATAGCAAAGCATAACTAATTTTTAATTACTAATTTTACAAATTAGAACAATTTGGAATACCAAACTGATGGACAGCCTAAATGAAAAGCATTTACTACATAGGAAATGAATCGTGGAATTTTAGCCCACTTAAAGAGTAAATGGCTCCCCAATTGTGATATTTTCAGCTATACTTCTTTGGAATAAGGGTACTCATGTCATAATAACCATGAGCTTGTGAGGTGGTCCAAAAATTGTTGATATATTGTTATAAACAATTATAGTATTCTCAATATGGAAATGGAAAGCTACAAACTAGCAAACATTGAAATTGGATAGAAAAAACCGCACCTGAAAAATCAAAGGATAGATGCCAAATCTGTGTATCATTTAACATCATAAATATCCTTATTTTTTTCCAAAGAAAAACGATAATCTTTAATAGACACATTAAGAAAAAAATTAGTTTTAAGGGAAAACTCAATGTACAGAAAATGACAAGACATTTCATCAAAACTTCTACAAATCTGTCAAGCCAACATAAAAATGCAAAAGCAACAGATGAACATTCGGAACAAAACCATATATCGTGTATTGATCATTGATACATAAACACACATGCCAGACAACATGTTAGATATCAATTAAAGTATCAACGTAAGAAAAAATTTTAAAAAACATCCACATACTTTCAAAAATTTGTTCTTGTGGTTTAAAACATTTTTTATGAAAACTCCCGACATACGATGGTTTTCTAGTTGGAACTGCTTTTTCTTCATATCACTAAACAATCAGTCACTTTTTACATGATCATTCCTAAAATATATTTAAAAATTAAAATACATAGGATACAGGTTTGGAGGTGACAATTATAGTTTGATTTTTGAATTCAGTGCACCCTTACCCTGTTAAATGATACATCGAATATAACAACAGCCTCTATCATAATATACAGAATGTTCCGGTACATAAAAATCTGTGTTTTCTATTGATGGACATATATATGTACGAATTGTACATATTCCCCAATTTGTATATTAAAATTATTAGTTTATTAACGCAGATATACACAGTTCATTTACTGTTATATGTTTGGTTTGCACAATTACAATCAAATTTAATAACAGAAGGATGCAATAAACATTGGTTGGTTTCAGGGTCATATATTTCGAAATTCCAAGTACCAGTTCTTAAAGCTTATTATAGAAGGAAAGATAGAAGTGAAACGGGGCATCGAATCATAAAGATTCTATTGAAACAATTGCCTCATTACTGAATGGACTGACAATATAAATATTAAATTTGGGTTGGAACGCAAAATGGCTTAAACCCTTACAAAATGAAATTGATGACATGTTAGAAACTGTCCACTCGAATCGAGTCGAATTTTGACGGAAGAAGAAAGTGGTGGCCTAGATTTAATGAAACTTTCGTTAAAAAATGTAATGCAAGTTGATTCTGATGACACTAGCAGTGATGAAGCTTCAGAATCTTTTCTAACGGCATTTGATGAATATAAAAAAAAAACTAAGTGAATGTGTAACCTTAGCTGAATTAGATGTAAAGGCACTACCTGAAAGCAGACGTAAACTACAAGGAGAACTGCAAAATTGTTTTTTTGTATACTAAGAAATCTGTAAGGCACAGAAACAAATTAAAAAGGGACGGAAACTGATAGTAGATGTGATAGACTACTAATAGTAGATGGAATAAAACTACTAATTTCTAGTTTAAAAAAATATTCCGGAACCTAATCCCATAATTGTTGCTTTGCCTGCTTATATAACAACTATTCATACAAAATGGCAATTTTTAGACCCATCTACTATATTAAAGGTTTCCTGTATATATGTACAATTTTTAAATCAAGACAATTATCATTTTGATAAAAAAACCAAATAGGCTGTAATAATAAACTAAAGAAGTACTGGAGAGGGTTGGTAAAGAAACAGAACTAATCACCACTATACAAACCAGAAACTGGAATACCTAGGCCACGTGATGAGGGGACCAAAATATGAAATTTTGAGACTGATAATACAGGGAAAGATTCAAGGAAGAAGATCTGTTGGCCGAAGGTAGAACTCATGGTTAAAGAATCTACGTGATTGGTACCAATGCAGATCGATTGATTTGTTTAGAGCAGCAAGTTCTAAAATAAAAATAGCCATTATGATTGCCAACCTCCGTAGGGAGACGGCACTCTAAGAAGAAGAAGTGTTAATAAAATTCAAAGATTTAAATTCATTCTGGAATAATTTTAAACATTTTATACAAAATAATATTATCTTGCCAATTTTTACTACATCTGAAAAGCAAAAACAATACATATAGTTCTTCATAAATAATTAAACAAAACATATACTTCTATGCTTGTTCGGAACATTCTGTACTTTTACATAAAACGTAAAAAATTTCATTCCGCAAACATTCCCGCACCACAGGCTCAACGTAGCGCCATGATAGCACAAGCACTTTTTTAAAAGAAAAAAAAAATAGTTATTTTTGACGATATCTGTAACACTTTGGTGTCAACATGCAGTTGAATTATTAAATAATAAATTATTGTTATGGCCCCGAAATGTCGGGTTACTACTCGGACGATCCTTAAAAACGGGTTAGGATTTCTGCCGTATTTTTTTATAATACATCAAGTCATAGGGTTATTTTATGTTTTCCTTTATTATCTTATTAATTTTCAAATGTCATTAGAAAGTGAACGACAAATAATTTGTGTAACCATACGATACACTGTTCTTTTATCGTTAATAGTATAGGCCTGCTACCTAAAATGCTTTTTAATAAACGTTTTTCTTTATTTTTAAGGTTTTTTTTGTTGAGATTTCATGTATAAAAGCACAAAAAAGTTATTTTTAATATACGTTATCAGTTATAAGAAAGTAGCGGGAAACTTTTTGTAAGCTGTCTAATGTAAAGAACATTGAAAGATACCGAGGGAGGCCTATATCCAGAAGTGGCCACGATTGACTGAAAAATGGTGATGATTTGTTGTATATTTACAGTCTGATAGTCGAAGGTAATGTCATATTTATTTCTTTCTTTTCTAGATTCACGGTAAATTACTAAATATTCTAAAATAATAACAGAAATACTTGCAAATATTTTTTTACTCTTATTTTTGATTATTCTTTGTACTAACTGTGTATAAAACTAAAACATATTGTCATAATTATCATAATTGTTCTTCCTTTTAGATCGGCCTAGGTCAAATGTTAGTATTATTTGTAGTAAAGTTGCACAGGGGGTTGCTAATTATTTGTTGTTGGAAAACTAAATAGTACAGTCTGTCACAGCTAAAATTGATTTTGTCACAGCTAAAACCATTGTGGAAAATTCTGGGAAAACGTTACAGATCCCTGTATTTAAACATTTTATCCCGAATATCACGGAAAGTGTATCTACAAAAAAAATCCAGCGCATGAGAATAAATATTGGAGAAAAAACAAAAAACATACGGTTTTTGGAAATGGAAAAACTCTAAACAATTGTTGAAAATTTAAAGTTATCTACAAAAAATGCTGTAACGAAAAATGTGACACTTTTTTATGCTTTAACAATTTTGCCATACAGTTCTGTCCAAAGAATCAGAAAATTGCTAGGTGAAAATTTGAATACTAAATTTGTCTGTATAAGCAACATAAATCATCACTGAACTGAAAGAAGAATACTACAACCGTGTATTTACACAATTTTATTTTTAATGTGCATTTACAGGGAGAAAACCACTTATGGAATAAAATTATTTGTTTTTTTTTAATTATAAAAAACGCTGATACCAGTGGATTTTTATATATAAATAGGCGCTTTTTGAACGTAAATTTAAATGTACAGGGAGATTCACGCAAGCCTAGCATAGCCCAACAGCTTTATGAAACTGGTCGTCATCATTCAATCAACTGATTTTGAATAAAGACCTTTGGTTCTTTAATCTTCTTACAGTATAGAAGCAGAAAATGAATACAGCAACATGCTTGATCCCCAAGCCCAATCATTTGCTAAATGCAATAGCTACTAGAGTTGTACACAATCTTAAAGCTTTGAATATATCTTAGGTTAAGAATTAGTATGATTCTTCAAAGTTACCGAAACCAGTAAATTTAGTTAGCAAACTTTTAAACTGTTTCTCGCCATTCTCATTACATCATTCTCCATTACAACTCCTTAAAAAGTCTTCAGTTTACTAAATTAATAAACATAAAAGAAAATGTTCACCTCTTTCTATGTAAGTTGACTTTAAGACTTTAATGCCACGATAATTATTAGTTAATATTGATTTTTAGGTAGATAAAGTATGAAGTAAGACAAAATTGGTCTTTATCAAAACCAACTAATTAAGAAAAAAAGACGAAATATTAAAAAATATGATTTATTTAATAATGGCCTACGCGGCAAATTAAAGAAATGTTAGTAGATCAATGTAAAGACGCTTAGTGACTTGAGCAAATTTATTCGCTTGAACGCTATGCGCGCAAAAATGCTCAGGTCTGTAGGTGTCCCCGCCGGAATGCTATCCGCCAGTAGTCGATTTCTGGACGACATCAAAGAATATTTACGCGTCAATTTGCTCAGTTTGCACGGTATTTGTGAATGTAGAGGTTGTGTCGATACACTGTACGGATTGATTTTAGTTAAAAATTGTTTAATTCGATTTTTTTTTAAGAATGGAGCGGAGAGTAACGGAGAACTCAGCATTTTTCGTATCCATTTTGCTCATGATTGATCACATTGATTAGTTTTTCAAAATCTATCGAAGACATACAAACAAAATTTTGAAATTGTTCACTAGTTCTTGAAATTTTAAGCCTCTTAACAAAACAGATCCACTATATATCTACCTGCTTCTATACTACTGTGTTATCCACCATCGCTTATCCCGCTTTTTTTTGTGTAAGCATACTATGAATTACTACATAGGCTGCACTTGCTATTATGACCTCATTTTTTGTTGAGATCTTGTATAAAACTAAACCGACGCACAACTGAAGCATCCCTAAACACACAATAATTGCTGTAAATTAAAATGCGTCAACGTATGTGCGCGTACAGCGTAGCGTAGGTAAATTTGCTCAAATGTTAGTACGCGCCTAACAGAGCATAGCCAAAAGCTTGCTTTTTCAATAAAGAATACTATTGTTTAGAACAATTACTCATGATATAACTCATTCTACAAACGATATTTAAAAATCACAATACTCAAAGAGAAATAAAGCGTGAAAACATAAAAAATACAATCATATAATTTTTGATTTCATTTTATTCTCTTCATATGGGATGTGTGACACAAATACTATCTCTAGTTTGGTTAAATTTCAAAACATTTTCCAACTTTCCTTCTACTCTGTATGTCTAAAATGTTATTTTTTGTCACGGAAGTATGTTAGTTCATCATAAGTACACCTCGAGCAGTGGTATGGAACCCCACTACACCCAGTGCATGTATTAAAACAAATTTATCAATATATTTATTCTTTTATATCTTGATAATATAAGTAAAAAAGACAGCGGTTCAAACTCTTTCCAAAGATTGAAGTGATAATTGCTACTGTCAGACCTTCAAGATAACATACATATGAGTAAGGGAGAAGATGATACCATGAAGCATGCCTATTCTGTAATATCACCTTAAGCAAAAATTTTGGTAAGGAATGAGAAAAATTTCAAATAAACCAAAAAGATATAGCGAATAATTGAAAAACAATAAAATTGGAATATGAAGCATATTTGTTCCCTGGAGTGATTGCAGCGTACATTACACGTTATTTATGGTGAGATGCGCTAAATGACGTACTTTCACCTCGATTTACAGGACTTGAACCATCAGAAGCTAAACATTTCTTCAGATGCGTCTCTACGAAGTTTTATTTACTGTCAAGTTTTAGTGTTATCTGCTATTCAGATCGATTTGCATCTGCCATTAACTCATTTTCACTCATAATTCACCATTTGCTGCAATTAGGAATATTGTTCCAGTATTTTGTTTTTCCATGTACATTTGTTGGATTAAAGTATTACGATTAGTGATTTGAGATTAACAAGTAGATAGAGACAAAACGAAACTTATAAAACAATGATATAAATATTATAAAATTTATATTATTTTTTAATTAAATATATTGTAAAATATATGAAAGTAATAAAGAAAGAACAACAAGAACTCATTTGAATTAACTTACACCATTTAATAAAGAATAACAACCAGCCAGGTTTCTTTTATGGTTCTTATTTAAAATTAACAAAAACCTTATAAAAACTAACTGATAGTTAAACTAAATTGGGAATAATAGATTAAAGACCATAGTTATCGGAATTATCTAGCCATCTAGACAAGACTTTCATAAAACCAACAAAGCAATATAATTATTTGCATGTAAGTTTGATACATTTTAACGTATGTACTTTGGACACCTATATAATTTTAAGACAAGTGGATCCCAACTTTCGAAAACATTTACGAACAATTTTATATTGAATACATAAACTAAATATAATTAATATAATAATTCATAAATCATTGTATCATTTTGGCGACAAATAATTTAACCTCTACCACCTGATATTTTATTTTGTTTTTGTGACATTAGTAGTAAAGTGTTTGGTTTTTAAGGATCATCCTAGCGGGACATCTCGAGGCCACCCTCGTTAACTATTTCGTAATATTGCTGAAACTATCGAGTCTTTGTTATCATGGAAAATTCGAGGTTTCCTGTTTTGACACTTTGTCTTTGCTCCCGACGACGACATGCTTCTTCATCATCTGCTCTATACAGTTCAAGCAGCATTTAATAAAGGCAGTACTTCTCATCGCTACCGTATCCGTGTATCCGAAATTTCACTAAGTTTTATTTGTATCAAGTTTATTGGGTTTAAACTACGAAATGTCAGTGATTTGACTAGTATTTTAACGGTTTTTTTTTATTCAAACAAGTACAACACTATCACTTTATCCACGTTTAGGATTCTTCCATGTAGTACTTGACCTTACCGTTCGGCTGATTGATTATGGCTTCCCACGCTGAAAAATAAAATCAAAATTTATTAATATTGAAGAATTTAACACATATTATTTAGACTGGAAACACCCCAGTAAAATTTGTAGTTATGAACTGATTTCAATCAATTCCTTTTTAAATGTCAAGTAAAAAGTCTACTTCGTTTACTGTTTATTCAAATTTTCAAGTCTTACCACTAGACCACAGTTTAATACTAAAAGAAGCTTCTTTAGCAATATACTCTGACTAGACTCTTGTTAGTAAAAAATACTGTCGCAGCTCACAATGGAATATAACCTTTATATAATGAATATGGGCAAGTCCAGAAGGTGTGACTAGAAATTGAAATAGATTATATATTATATAATTGAAAAGAAGTAGCCCAAGACGTGAATTGAATAAGTTTTCAATAGGTAGTGACCCACTGGGCTTTGAGAGAAAAAGTGATAATAAAAGTCAAAAGGTAAAGAACCAAAATTATGACAAGGAAGAAAGAAACTGGGAAAATCACATCATGGAATAATGCCATCATGGTAATCATGCATAAGAAGAGAATACAAGAAACCACTGGTCTTGTGGCTAAGAGAAAGCATTTTATTGTGTTCAAGCCGATATGTTTGTAGATTAGATCACAAATATACAACATTAATTAAAAATAAATACAACAATACATCACAATATGTGAAATTACACACTACACATATTAACATTTAGAATAGAACGCGGCATATGGCAAGTAGATAATCTCACCAAAACTGTTTACACTGCTGCTGGAAAGAACTTGAGAGAGAAAACACGAGAATCAACATTGATGGTGAAATATGGAACTACTTATGCTTCCCTGATGAATCGTGCTGATTTCAGACAATCTAAAAGAAGCCCGAGAGTTGTACAATACAGTAAACTCTGTGCAAACTGAGGTAGGTTTAAAAATTAATGTTAAAAAGACTCAGCATACGACAAACTTAGTGCCTAGGAAACAACATATCCAGAAATATTTAGGGCACAAACTTACTGAGAAGCACAGTATTTAAAACCAATATACTGATATGTTTGAAAAGGAAGATTTTTAAACAATATATTGACTTATGGTACATAGCAATGATTACAGATGGTTTGAAAGGACATAAAATATGAAGTGATACTGTGCTGGACACATAGTGGGAAAGAATGATGTTAGGGGGACTTAACATATAATGGAGGGACATCCTGGATTATATGCATACAGAAGTAGTGGTAGACCTCCAATACAGTGGAACAATAATGCATATAATGAAGGTTTTAACTGTACTATACTTACACGGCACATATGTCCAGAGGACAGGAGACAATTCAGGAAGGCCTATAATCAGAAGTGACAGTTATACGTTTTATGACGATGATGAATGTTTAGGTGGATGTGAGTTTCATTATGCCAGAGCTATAAGATAATGATTTAAGAGTATTTTTCTAACAAATACATGTTTAATTAACTTGATATATTAAAATGAAAAAATATGTGTCATACACATGTGTTCAGTGACTGCTGGTTTTCGAATTGTAAGTTGTCATAACTTTATGGTTAATAAATATATTCTTATAAAATTTTCATCATATCTATGCAAAGTCCTTTAAAACCCATACACACCTGCATTAAACAAAATGGTTGAAATCAGTCAATAACTGTAAAAATTGAAATTTAGGGGTATTTCCAATCTAAATGGCTCACACTGTAGATAAGTTAAAACAAAATAGTTATAACAGTAAAATCGGTTTTTATGTGCCTATAACGATTTCAAAAAAGTTATGGGAAAAACTGTACCAACAATAATTGCAATTGCCATATAGCATAGATCTAGTTAGCATAATAAAGAAACATTCATTTAAACACATTTTTAAAACCAAGTAATTTTGGCAACAATGGCGTTAAAAAATTCGTAAGAGTAAATAGTCCCATTGGGCAGTTCTCAAAGTGCCAAATTCTGAACCTTTTTAGCGATCAAGACATCTCTCGCGTCCACTTAATGGATAAATCTGAACAGGGAACTTCTTCTTCTTCTACGGCACTACAGCCCAAAATGAGCCTTGGCCTCCTTTATTTTTTGCCTCCACCCTTGTCTGTCTGTGGCTGCTCTTCTCCATACACGGACTCCTAAAAGTGCTTGTGCGTCGCTGCTTACTGTGTCTTCCCAGCGCTTTCTTGGCTTTCCAACTGGTCTCTTTCCCTGCATTCTGGCGTTCAGTGCTCGTTTTGGTAGCCTATCCTCTCCCATTCGTATCACATGTCCGGCCCATTGCAATCTTTGTATTCTAATGAAGTCTGACAGGGGTGTTTCCTTATACAGTTGATAGAGCTCGTTGTTATATCGAATTCTGAAGATTCCGTTTTTCCCTCACAGGTCCTAGTATTCTCCTCAGTACTTTTCTTTCGAATGTGTCGAGTTTGTTTTTGGATGTTTCTTTCAGGACCCATGCTTCGCTGCCATAACATGCTATTGGCCGAATTAAAGTTTTATAGATTCTCATCTTTGTATTTCGGTGGACACTTTTAGACCGAAATATATGAGAGAGGGCAAAATAAGCTTTATTTGCCTGCGTTATCCTTTTTCGTATTTCTCCATCCTCTGCTCCATCGGCATATATTTCTACTCCCAGGTATGTAAACTTTCCAACCGTTTCAATGTCATCTTCATGTATAATGTTTTGTGGGATATATTTCTTCTCGTCTGTACCATTATTTTTGTTTTTTCTGGGTTAATTTCCAGACCTAGCCTTTTCGTTTGTGTTTTTAACTCTGCGTATGCTTCCTGTGCTCCTGTTGATGTTCTACTCATAATATTAATATCATCGGCGTAGGCAGCCAGTTGAACCGTTTTATTGGTCAGTAGGTTTTCTCGTCCAGTTTGCATTTGCCTAACCGCATACTCCAGTGCCAGGTTAAACAATGTTGGTGCCACCCCATCTCCCTGCTTTAGTCCCTGCGAGATTTTGAAAAAGTCTGTCCGGTTGTTTTGTATTCGTACACATGCCTGAGTTTCATCCATTGTGGCTTTAATGAGTCTAATTAGCTTATATGGTATTGCTAATTCTGCCAATATATAGTATAGTCTGTCCCTTTTGACTGAATCGTATGCCTGTTTGAAGTCTACAAACACGTTGTGAACATCAATGTCGTGTTCCCACGATTTGCTCAAGACCTGCTTGACTGTAAATATTTGATCCATTGTCGATCTTCCCCGTCTGATATTCTCCAATAATATTTTCTGCTAGTGGTTGGAGTCGCTGGTTTATAATATACGTGAGGACTTTATACGCTGTACATAGTAGAGAAATTCCACGGTAGTTTTTGCATTGGAGTTTGTCTCCTTTTTTATGGATTGGGCATACTATACTTTTCTTCCATTCGTCGGGTATTTTCTCTTCTTGCCATATTTCTTTGATAAGCTCGTGGATATGACTTGATAGGTGGTTGCCACCTACCTTATACAGTTCTGCTGGAATCTCGTCAACTCCCGGGGCTTTATTGTTTTTCTGGGCCTTAATAGCTTCGAGAACTTCCTCTATGGTTGGAGCTTCTACTTCAACTTCGTTCTCTTCTACATGGTTCGTACCCATTTCATCTTCCATATCTACTTGTGTTCCAAGTAGGGTCTGAAAATAGTGCTTCCAGGTTTCTGTGACTTTCTGTTGGTCACTGATTATTTGCCCACTTTCATCTTTGCATAGGCTTGTTTGAGGTTTATATCCACTTTTTATCTGAACAGGGAACATCATGTCTAAATTTGCCAAAAAGTGAAACATCAAAAGTAATGAGAAGGTCGACGGCAAATATTACTTGAAACCGCAAAAAACCATCTCGAAGATTCAGAAATAAATGTCACAAATAGACTTGTTTAAGTAACAAAAGCATCATTATTGACGACAAAAATATTTTGTGTGTAAGTATTTAAACAGTAAGATAATATAGAAAATTGTTGTTTGGTGTGTGAAGAAAAACAAATGAAAAAGCTAACTGCCTTGGAAATGTGGTTATATATACGAACTTTTCTGAATATAAACAGATCACATATCTAATGAGGAACTGTTGCGAAGAATGACAGCAACAAGAAATTATGTCTACAGTGAAGAAGAGGAAGATGGAATAATTTGATTATCTGATAGACATGACAAATTTTGTCTACTGCAACTTATCCTTCTTCAGAAAAGGTGGATGGGAGAAGAGTTCCAGGAAAAAAAGAAACTGCGTTAATAAAACATGAATTCCATGTTAATAGCCAACCTCCGCAATCCATGGGGCAATAGAAGAACACTTACTGTTAAATCTTTGGCTAGAAAATTAGCACATATTGATACAGTGGTTTCATGGTAATTAAGAATGTTAAGAGAATAACATATGATGGTTGTCAACATATGTTTAGATGTCCTGGATGGAGATATAACCAGAATTGCATTTTTCCTAGAGTAGTTTGCTGATGGGGGTACACTGATATTGGAAGAGGGAAAATTTATATGGAACCATTCGAGAAAGTTTGGAGGAAAGCATGATATCTATTTTGTCATTTGTTGGAGAATATTTCATACTCATGCACAATAATGCCCAAACGCACATTGATAAAAAAAGTTGCCAGTAGGTCCATAATGTTGATATTCAGGTACAGGAGTGGTCACTTAGATGTTCGAATATACACTTCATAGAGCATGTATGGAATATCCTAAACCGAACGATTAAATTGGGAACTACAGCGAAATTCAAATAGTGCTTATAATGACAGAGGCGCTCTTAGATAAATCGGCGTTAATATCGGAGAATAAGACTGTTGCTGTGATCCAAAGTATAATGCAAAAGATAAGGGTTGTCATACAACCTTGAGATACAAATACTAGGTTTTAGATTTTGCCGATATTTTAAGAATTTTTTCTATTGATTTGAAATACAATTTTTGTTTTTGCTTTGATTTCTTATTGTCAAGTATATACAGTGTAGGAAAAATTTTATGGTCGGTATGGACCTTACGTGAGATGGAGTGAGAAACAGCTGTTTAGA